TAATTTTATTGTTTAGGTTCCTATGTATTCTGTCCTCTACATACCATGCAATAATTGCAAAGATTTTGACAATTATTCTCAGTTATACAACATCTCATAGAACGTTGAATTTTATTCATGAGGAAGAAAATCAGCATTCTTCAAACTGGCCTACTATACTAGGGTGTACTGAAGAGGTGTTGACTATAGTTCCCAAAATTTCAGTTCAGTATATCCAGTGGAATTTGTAGTCCAACGCATATGGAGGTGGTTGCGGCAAACAGTCTCTTCATTATATGAAAGCAGGCCATTTGAATCTATTTACATATTTTTGTGCACTTCTCATTCTGTAGTCTGTGAGTAAAAATGCAACTAGGCAGAGTATTGGAGTTTCCTACCAAAAATCCCAATGAACAAATCTATAGAATACAGAGAGGAAAATCACTTCCCTGTGAGCAACCCCTTGTCCACCAAAAGTCACTTAAACAGAACAGGGATATGATCAGTGTAATGAAAATATGTTTATTTTGTATTTGAAAATATTACTCTGGGGAGAGCTGGTTCAAAGGACTTGGAATACTTATTTAAACAAATTTATAAAGCTGCCTAATCAGTGGTGGGATTCAAATATGTGAACAACCAGTTCTCTGTCTGGATGCCGCTTCAGGAAGTCCATTCTAGGCCTGGGCAACAAAAAATTAGCTACCAGTTCTGCCGAAGTGGTGCAAACTGGCTGAATCCCACCACTGTGTCTAATGCATCCAAAACTTTCTTTAAAAATGAGAAGGTCAAACCAGAATAAAAAGAACAAAAATCAAGCCTGTTCCTGCAAAAACATCCAGTGAGAAGAATATTTTATCCTATGGCCTGGGGAAGAGAGCCAGAATGTCAAGCTCGCTTAAAGGATGACAGGGTCAGGGCCACACGAATTCCTGGGGTTATACCATTGTAAAAGGCAGATGCTTCTCCAGAGAAGGCATGCTTCCTGAGATCCATTACATATTGTTTCAAGGAACATGCTCACCTTGCCAGATCTGCCAGTGGGCAATGATAAAGGGAGAAAGTGGATCTCTTGGGTAACCAGGTCCTACACATGACGGGTTTTATAGGTCACTATCAACATCTCAAATTGCACACAAGTAGCCTCCCAAGTAGCAGTTACAGCTTAGGAAGCATAAGTGTCACATAAGTCTGCTTTCTGGACTAATCACAGATTCCAAATGGTTTTCAAAGGCAACCCCTTTGAAAAATGCATTGACAAAGTCTAAATGTGAAGTGTTTAAGTGTATAAGTAGTGAGTGTAAGAAGGGATGCCCAGTCCAGGAGGGATATAACTAGTGCAAAAGATGAATCTGGAAGGCCTTCCTGATCATAGCTGTCCCTTGCTCTTTAAACAAGAGCGGGTAATGAAGGAGAACCTTAAAATTGCATATCAGTTCTGTGTAATACCACCCAGAATTAAAGACGGCATACATCTGATCTTGGGAGAGCTAAAAATCCATAGCCACTTCATCTTGTAAGGTTGAATTAAAGCCTGTTCCTCTCTGTCTAGATCTTCAAAGTCTCACAGCACTGAGACATGACATTAACAACATCCCTTGGCCAGTTCAGGTTTGAGATGTATGGCTGAGTATCCTCCTACTGAAGAAGCAGACATTGTGCTGGCTATTGACCTTACTCAGAAATTTTATCTAGATGTTAAAACAGAGTATGAGTTTCAAGCCCTAGAATACCCCATATGTAAAGGCCAAAGGCTTGACCTCTCCCTCTCCCCAAACCACTAACACCAACTGGAACTTACCTAAGAGAAAGGAAAACCAGCACAATCCTACTCTTGGCTCCTACTCCTTATCCCCAAAGATCCCAGTCAATAGTACTCAAAGCAGCTGATATCAAGGAAGGCCTCATCACCACCACCACATCACCATATCCTTAGAAATTGTCCACAAGCATGATCAGACCTGACTCTGTATTATGTTCCAGCCTGAAAACTTACTGAACTGATAGGTAAACTTTATTTAGTTCATATTGAATTAACTCAGATATTGACCAAACAATCTGGCTCCCAAATAATTTCTCCCATTCCTTGCCAGTCAAATTCAAATGCATTCATTGGTATCTTCCACATGACCAAATCAGAGTAATATTGACCTCCTTGATCCAAGAGAAAAATATGCTGGCATGAATTGTGCTATCCTTACTGGCAATCCTTGTTGTCACATAGCAAGGTCAATGAACTAACTAACCATACTTACTTATTGTGAAGGATTAATAGATTCCACTGGCTTCATTTTTCCTCCCACCAAACATTCCATCTGCAGGAAAATAAACACTAATGCCTAACATAGATTGAGGAAATTTGGAAAGATGCGTCAAGTGGTAGCTTTAGTCATTTGATTAACAAGGACAGAGAACAGAGAATGAAGCAGAAAGGAATCATAAGGGTACATCTAGATGGTGCAACTTTTGTTCCATGTCGTTTACCTATTAGGTTATTTCTGAATATGGGTATAGTACTTTTCTGAAAGAATGTTGAATTTGTCTTTACAAATAGCCTGACCCACAAATAACAGGTGTAGAAAGTGTGTAGGGTGCAGCAAGAGGGAACAATCATTTGCTATCAACAAATACTAAGGAATGATGTCCACTTCCCCCTCATTTGGGGGAGGGGGGTAGAAATTGCATCCTTATTTTGCTGATTCTGAGACAACAATCCCACCAAGTTGCAACACTCTAGCTGCTTCCTCAGAGATAATTAACAATAATACAAGGATTCAAAAGAGCAAGCATGTAAATCCCTTTGTTGGCAGAAGCAACAAAAAAATCTGAAATGAATCCAATGATGACAGAACTAGTAGCATACAATTGGCACCATCCAATTTTCTTTCCTGAATAAAAGTGATCTTCTGGTAGTACATGCCTAAATAATCCTGTGTTAAAAAGACAGGTCCAATGCTCTTTCAAAAAGCACTAAAGATTTGTTCATAAGAGGCTCACGTAAATCCTGCAAGAAAGTGATGAGCAGGCATGACATGGGCAGATCCCTATGGAATCCAACTGTTGGTCTCTTCTACTGTTCTTCTACTGTACTGTGATGGGCTGTGAAAATAACCATGGGTAAAACAGGGGGAAGAGCAGTCTAATAAGAGAAATCTGAATCCAAAAGAAGGAGGGGTGTGAAAACATCATCTCAGATGATACCCTTCCTAGTTTTCTGGAGAGTAAACATAAGTGAGGGGAAAGGTGCTTTCAGACCTGCAAAATTCTATCAAGGTAAGTTTACAATAAAGATAGGGTTAATACTTGTACTTTTTGTCTCGACTACTTCAAAGGGCTGATTTCTGCAACTTCATACTAGAAGCCACCAAATGGTGCCCAGCAATCAGAGGCCATGTTTGTAGCAACCTGAAGACTGCAGCAGATAGATTCCAAATTTTAACAGCATCACCTACCAAATGATGTAAAATATGCCAGAACATAGTTATAAGACAAGAAGTAAAACATGGTTTGAAAATCAGAAGAGCTAAATACAACTTATGTAGGAAATGAAAACCATTTTAGAATTATTGACTCTTGCTTTGCATCTCTATGCGCTGTGTAGGTGCGTTTGAGAGAGATCTATTGTATTTTCACTTTTTTTCTTCCTAAAAAGCTCCTGGTTTTATTATATATGACTACTGACTCTGACTATGCATAGTTTGGAAACACACTAACTAAATACATGGCGAGCAGGATGAGGGGAGAAATGGAAATATCTTCTTCCTGGTCCTCTCTGTGACTTTATACACAAACACACACACACACACACACACACACACACACACACACATTTAATTTTCCCAAAGGCATTATATCCCTTCTTTTTTGTTCATTTCCATTACTTGATGTAGCACCAACTAAGAAATTGAAATAGAAGGTAAGTGAATAGGTAGACAAAATGGATGTTTTGGATTAAAATCTGAATACAAGAGGAATTTGGATGGTTAAGACATAGATTGCATTTCTGCAAGCAATGTAAGCCACTGGGATTTCTGTTTCCAGTCCCAGAAATTTGATGGTTTGGATTTCATGGTTTTGGCCTTAGTTGCGTGAACCTAACCAATTGTGGCTAATTCTATCAACTGTTACTCTGGAGAAGATTAAACCCCAACATATGTTGAATAAAATTAAAGGAGCTTTAAAGATCACATTATGTCCATTCTTGCTATAGAGAGGAATACACTATTTTCATACCTACCGGTATCTATCCTCAAGAATAGAGGCAATAACTCTATTGTATTAATTTCTGTCCTCCACTAAGGCCCCAGCCCAATCGTGTATTTTTTTTACCTGCATTGTTAAGGGGAGAGAATCAGTTTGGAAAAATGGAAAGTTATCCAGAGCAGCTCCAATGGTTATAAACTAGGATTAGAATAATCATCCTGCTATCTATGCATATCTCTGGGTGGGGCAGTGTTCTACGGTGAGAATCTTTTCCAAGCTTTTAGATTTGAGTTTATTATTGTATATTATCAAATTTGGGACAGGAAGAACCAGATATGGATGTTATTTGGAAACAAACTTGTCCTGTTATACTTTAAATACCATGCATGAAAGGCAGGCTTTTGTTTCAAAAGATAAAAATATTCCCAACCCCTTCAATATAGGAAAGCAATCGTCGGCACGTACCGACCTGAACATAAGTCCCAACCCCTTCAATATAGGAAAGCAATCGTCGGCACGTACCGACCTGAACATAAGGAGCACTGAACTCCAAAACAAGCCTTCTTTTGAGTACTGTAGTGTATGAAAACATAAAAGTGCCTCAAGTTGTTCTGGAAAGTAAGGGGGAAAGTAACGCTTGAGAGATTTTTCATTAAAGTTTCGAACCTCTCTTTCGCAGCCAGCAAACGCGAAGGAAAGAGACCTTCCCCGCTTTCTTTCAACCGGGTGGGGGGGGGGAAGAGGCGGAAAATCAGCAGTCCATCCAAGGCGCTCGGCAACTGAACCGTGGAGGGGAGTGGCGGGTGATCCCAACTTACCGCAGACTCCGGCGGAGAGCAGAAGCAGGCTAAAAACCAGAAGCACAGAGGAGGCAAATTTGCCCATCTTGGTCTCAACTTGACAAAACTGCGAAGCAGAGCGGAGCAGTCTGTTTCCGAAAGGTCCGCCCCGAAGACCGGCCAAGTTCTAGCAAGCGGTGTCACCGAGAGATCCGAAGACCGGGCAGACGCGGCCAGAGAGAGGAACCAGCTGTCAGATGGGAGCCACGGAGTACCCCAGCCGGTCGCCGAGGTCGCAGTTTCGTAGGATCCTTTTCTTCACCCCTCCCAGAAAGAGGGGGGACTTGGCAGGGGAGGAGACAACCTCTGCCAGCCACTGCTGTACACCCTTTATCCCTGGCAAAGATTTCCTCCCCCAGTGCCTAAATTCATTGGCCACTATTTTTTAGTGGTGGAATGAACTCTGAACCTCTCTATTCCTCCTGCGTCTAATTCTCTTTATTGTAGTGGAGCTACTATAAGAAAACTACATGAATCAAACAACGTGAAAAAGACCCCCCCTCCTTTAAACCTACTTGACCCTTGTTTTAATGACAAATTTAAAGAAATAGCAGCAATCATCCCATTCAAACTGGCGCTAATTACTAACCACAAACTATTTCTTTTCTTTTCTTTTTTCTTTCCTTTTGGATTGGTTTCCTGATCATTGTTGTAGTTGATTCAGAAAATAGGAACTGTAGCTCTGAGGAAAGAGAAGAAGTTTAGAGAGGCTGTGGCATTTCTCTCCCAATCCCAAACCTCCCCCCCCCCCACTACCTGCCTGGAGAAAGATTTAGCCTTAATCCAGCAAGTTATACCTTGGCCTTGCCCGCCTTTGTATCATCTTCCATCATCCCCTACAAATGTACAAATGGCAAAAATCTCATGGAAGTATATAATCCTTGGATAAATATTTACATAAATGTTCTTCTTTTGAAGCTGATTTTAGACAGATTATTTTGTATGTCCACCTAGAGCTTTGCATAGCCCTCTTGGAACTTTTGATTTATCTAAGCATTTGTATAGTAATCATTTCTCTAGAGATAATTGCAGAACAGTTTTTAAGTGACCAAGAAGTATCAGATACAAATTCAGAGATTTGTGGTTGAATAAAGTTAAATTCTTTATGAAGCATAGTATCAATAAGGTGTGATATATAACATTACATTATTTCCAATTCTAATTTAGAAAAACTGAATTCTACTATCGGTATACATCATATAAACAAAATCAAATTTAAACCTATTATACAATTTTATTGGCTACTTCTGGTCTGGTTAAACATGGGAAACAACTGTTTCCCTTATCCCTTATCCCTTCCTTCTGAGATTTTAGTAGACATTCCTTACAACTTTCCAAATCAAGGCAAAGGGACTAGATGTTAACCAAGACTGAAGGAATTTAATTTGGAACTTAAACAAGGAGGTGTGGGAGGGGGCTAATATTTCATCATTTTCTGGATGATGTCCTGAATATTTTTAGTCTACAAGAATGTCATCTGAATGCCTTATCACTGGAAAACAGAATGCAAGTAAAAATTCCTGGTGCTTGCTACCTATTTAATTAAATGAGATACACTCAATACATTATCAAAAAGGGGGGGGCATAATGGGATGGGAAAACAGAATGTTAGGAATCTCTTGGAAAAAGGAGTTTCAAAACTGACTGAAAGCACTTGAGCTTCTTTAATAAACACAGGGATGAATTTTTCACTCACATGTAGCCTGCCTTGATCTCATTTGGTCTCTGTTGTCTTGCTGCCCTCTTGCGTGCAAAAATAAAATCCACATAGTCAGGCAAAGCCAATTTCCTAGCTACTTTTTTAAACATACAACTGATATTGAGAAAAATTGAGTTGAATGTGGGTGTTCTAACACTTCTAATTCTAAGTCCCAACCTGAACATGTTGGCAACTATTCCAAAATCATACCGCCTGATTGCTTATAGTGAACCAAGGTCCAAGCATTAAAAGATTTTTATTCAACCTGTCTACACTCTTGTAAGTATCTCTATACTCTTGTATAGTATAGTATCTTTGGCAACAAGGTTCATTTAAGGACTTCAAAACAGGAGTCCCCTTGGGAGTGGAAAGGCTACTTGAGAGTTTCAGTTCTCCTTGTGAACAGGACCAGTTGGAATATAGTGGATTAATTACAGCTGAGCCTTAAGTGGGTTCTGGCTATGAAGACATGCATAAGAATTGCTACTATGGACTCAGTGAAGTTGCATTCTTTGACCAAGTGACAAAATTAGTGGATCAGAGGAATGCTGTGGACATAATTTACTTGGACTTCAGTAAGGCATTTGATAAAGTAGATCACAACCTACTACTTGACAAGATAGAAAAATGTGGGGTAGACAGAACCACCACCAGATCGATCCGTAGCTGGCTGACCGGACCGTACTCAGCGAGTGGTCCTCAATGGAACTGCATCTATATGGAGGGAAGTGTGTAGTGGGGTGCCCCAGGGCTCTGTTCTGGGCCCAGTCCTCTTCAACATCTTCATCAACGATGTGGATGAAGGGATAGATGGGGAACTCATCAAATTTGCAGACGACACCAAGCTGGCAGGAAGAGCCAACACTCCAGAAGACAGGCTTCAGATACAGAAGGATCTGGACAGACTTGAACACTGGGCACTAACTAACAAAATGAAATTCAATGGTGAACAAAGCAAGGTTCTACATTTAGGCAAGAAAAAACAAATGCACAAGTACAGCATAGGTGGCACCATGCTCAATAGTAGTAACTGTGAGAGGGACCTCGGATTCCCTAGTAGACATCACTTAAATATGAGCCACAGTGTGCTGCAGCGCCAAAAAGGCCAACACAAAAGTGCTAGGCTGCATAACATAGGGATAGAATCAAGATCAGGAAAGTATTAATACCACTCTTCAATGCTTGGTAAGGCCACACTTCGAATACTACATCCAGTTTTGGTCACCACGATGTAAAAAAGATGTTGAGACTCTAGAAAGAGTACAGAGAAGAGCAACAAAGATGATTAGGGGACTGGAGGCTAAAACATATAAGGAACGGTTGCTAGAATTGGGTATGTCTAGTTTAACGAAGAGAGGACAAGGGGGGACATGATAGCAGTATTCCAATATCTCAGGGGCTGCCATAAAGAAGAGGGAATTAAGCTATTTTCCAAAGCACCTGAAGGCAGGACAAGAAGCAACGGGTGGAAACTAATCAAGGAGAGAAGCAACCTAGAACTAAGGAGAAACTTCCTGACAGTGAGAACAATTAATCAGTGGAACAGCCTGCCTCCAGAAGCAGTAAATGCTCCAACACTGGAAGTTTTTAAGAAGAGACTGGACAGCCATTTGTCCGAAATAGCGTAGGGTTTCCTGCCCGAGCAGGGGGTTGGACTAGATGACCTCCAAGGTCCCTTCCAACTTTACTACTATTACTACATTACTACAAGTGCTAAAGAAATAGATTTATTGAAGGTCTATAGATTTTGGATATGACTCCTTCCTTGAGGCCATTTGCTTCTTCAGTACTTTTCTACCTCAATATGTAAAATGTGAAACTAAGGCCATTGCCTGTTGGCCCATCAGGATTCTCATCTCTCCATTATTTAGCATAATTAAACTGTATATTCTAAATGTGTCCACATCAGTATTAGATACATTGGAGCACACTTTCCATTATAATTACCTAGCATAACAACTTGTTCTTGCAAAATGAGGATTGAATGAGATTTAGTCCAATGCATAGAGGACCACCAGGTGAGAAAAGATTGATCTTTACCTTTTTTATTTTAAGATTTCAAATTATTTATTCCATTCAACTAATCCCAGAAGCTCTGAAGGGTTACTTTCTCCCACTTACAATACTGAATTATGAGGTCCTCTTTAGAGGAGCTGTTTCAGACGTCTCAGCAAGTGAAGGGTGGGACAAAATTATTAGAGACAAAGTCCTGTTAGTGATGACATAATCATTGTAGTATTCCTTTCCTAGAAAATGCTTTCCTGTAGCATTCATGCTAGGCACTTTGGCACTAAAATATTATTTTAAAACATTTTAATGCTTTAAAAACATCAACATATACTCTTCTGAACACTATGTTACATAGTTGTCATTGCTTTAATTTTACTAAGAACTATTTATACCCCTCCCCCCCAAAAAATTATGTCTCACATTATAATATTAAGAATTTTACATTGTAAGAATATAAGAAGAACTCTGTTGATCCTGGATCAGATCACAAACAATCTAATCTACATTCTGTTTCTATAATGGTCCCATCTGTCTCTGGGAAGTCCAAGAGCAATATATAAATGACAGCACACAGCCTGATTCCTCTTCTGTAATTATAGATCTTCTGGAATATTGCTCGGATTTAGTCATATTAATCAATTGTACTACTATAGTACAGTAGTTGTCTCCTGTAGGGTAAAAATAGCCCAGAAAATTATTTTCTTAGGCTTTCCATAAACATAACAGAAAAATAAAACAAAAGCAATTACCTACAAATGTAGTGCTAGCTTAGGAAAAGTACCTGAATCTCATTCTAAACAGAGGAACTATTTGGGGAAAACATTTTTATGATGCATAAGAAATGTAGATAAATTCTTTGCATACTGTACTAACCTGGGGTGGACTTTGATGAAAGAATCCTCAAATCACCTTTCCACAGTCCACAGCAAGGAAAAATGCTTGCAAATATCCATTAGAGACTATACTAATAAGGTATATTGAAACTAGACCAGGCTATTTTAAAAAAACACATTTTTTTTAAAGACTGGAAAAAGGCTGGCCAGGTGATCTTTGATCTCTCTCAACAAAGAGTCTGAAAAAGAAATTTCTCAGGCTCAAAACCCCTGCAAGGTCTTTCCTTTTAAAATTGTAAGGAAAGATATTCTTTGCTAATCTCAGGGAGAACAGTTGTCATCTAGAATTGCAGCTGATAAGCTAGTGATTAGATACAGCAAAAGAATGGATTTATACACAGCACTCAGGAGCTCTTTGGAGAAAAGATTTCTATGCCTTTGGTAATGCTAGTGCATCCTATCAGCACATGAGCTTTGGATAGAGAAGGACTGTTAGCAGACTGGCAGCTCTCTGACTGTAGTGGTGGGTGAAGGTGGTGCTTAGGATCAGTTTGGGGAGGAGTTTTTTCCCCTGCAAGTTGTTTTTATCGTGCTGCTTAGAGAATTTACTGTTTAATGCATCGTACCTCCTGAGATTCCAGCCTGTTTGACAGCACATGCTCCCAGCTGCTTGGAAATCTGACGTTTGGAATTTCTCTTAAAGATTGGATGGTGTGGTGTTAGTGGAACTGTTTCCTTGTCCTTTTACAGCTGTCTACTTTCTTGTGCTGACAGTGCCTTTGTGCAAGAAGATCAAGAAGCCTTGCTGACTACTGAGGAGTCCTTATATTATTTAGGGTCACTCAGGGAAGAAAAGCTCATTGTTCTCATTTTTCTGGAACTTCCATAGGATTGATATACAGAATGAATGGAACCTTATTTAACCAAACACTGTTGGAAGAAGGGATGTACTCCAACCGATCCCAAGATCTGGGGATTTTGATTGGCTGCTGCAATGGGACAGGAACAGTGTGGCCAGCGATGGAGGGGCATCCGTCCTGCTCCCAGATGAAAGGAACCTCTTCATCACCCGAGTGGTCCAGATTGCTGTTCTTTGTGTTCTCTCATTGACTG